CATTTCACCGTGCTACTTTCCTCAAGCCAGTCAATGGCAATGACTGTCATCTTTGAGACTGGGGAAGAAAGAAACTTCACAACCTATATAGTTTCATCTTTAAGTGCAGAGATCTTAACAAATCACAGTTATACACACAATAGGGCAAGACTAATTCCTCTGACTTCGCTGAGTCATTCACCCAGCATTATGCCAGTCTGGTGTAAAAGACTCACATAAGAACATACACAAGAATATGACACACAGATATAGAGCTCAATAAAACAATAAAATGCAGAGATTATTCTGGTGATAAGAATTTTTTCCTGCAGTGTTGTAGATGAAAATAATAGGCAGGTGCTCCACCACTGAGCTGTACTGCCAGCACTGATTTTTGTTTAATAAAACTTTAATTGATGCCTTTGAAAAGCTTCTGAAGTCAGAATTGCAGCAATGTATTTCATCATTGTTATCATAACTTAGGAGTCTTTCACACGCAAACAGAGTCAAACTGGTTACCCTGAGACCCTTGGCCTGTGTGGTCAAGAGGATGGACCCATCCGTAATCATAGACTGCTGGCTTGTGTGGCTGTATTCACACCCTTTGCACTGAGCCCATCTCCAGGAGGCTGAACTGATGTCCTCTCTGACCCTAGTTCAATGTGACATAAAAGCATACAGGTAACGCCTAAGGCTCTCCTAGATGATTAGATAATCAATTTTTTAAACTAGATAGCAAATAAATAATGCTTCATGTAAATTATATTCTTGCTGATCACATTGCTTTTCATTAATATGCCACAGTATTTGAAGTTTTTATAAGAAAAACAATGGAATTTAAAGCCATTTTTCTTATCTCCAAGATTTATATGTAATTTCCGTACCTTCACTTTCTGGATGAGCTTTCACTATATCTTCTCAAACTCTGAATAATATATTTAAAGAGAATTCTAAATAATAAGACACCAAGATTAGAGTTTTTAAGAGATTTTATGTTGACAATGTTAAAGGAAAACATTCATCTACAAAAAGATCTAGGAATAATTTCAGCTAAAGGATAAGGTAAATAGAATGATTCTTTATAGAGACAAAATACTCTTAAGAATTGGATTATTATATCCCTTAATGTAAAATATTCAGAAAAGTTAAATAATTTCTAAGGGGAATAAGAACCATAAGTAAATTGGTTTAACAATAGTGTAGCTCTTTATCCAACTTCTGTACTTCTAACTGTTAAAGTAAACCAGCCATTAGCTGTTAACGGATCCATCCTGGTACTGATATCTCCATGTGACCAATAGTCCTGACATGTCAGATTCACTGGATTAAGACACCCTCCTGAACAGATTAGTGAAGATTCCTCTGAGTGTATCTAGTGTGCCTTGGAGAGCGCAGAGGTCCCTGGTCCCTGCACTGTTCCCTTGCTCTGCCTTCTGACTCCATGAAGTAAGCTTCTTCACTTCACCAACCCCTTCTATCATGAGGTTTCTGCTCAGGAACCAGCCAACCATCAGGGGCTGAACTCTGGAAAGCCGGCCAGTTAAACTTCTCCTGCACTATGTTGTGAATGCTCCCTATATATTGTGTTGTGGTGATGAGAAAGCTGATGAGCACACTCCAGAAGGACTTGCACTGTCCTCACTAAGTCAAGAATAAAGACACAAACAGATAAACATCTATATACACTACATTAAGTAGTCTGAATCTAAATTAAATGACTCAGCTTTCATTGGTTTCCCTTTACTCATCTCATATGTGTGAATTACACAATAATCTTGCCTTAATTCTACTTATGGAGCTCAGTAAACCAATGTAGCATACATAAGCTTGAAAAAATTAGCTACAGAAAAGATATTAAAAGGAGCTTTGGCAAAAATCCTTGGGTAGTAAAGCACTGTGTGGGCCTTTGGACACCCTCACTCTAATGACTGCTAAGTTAAAAATCACTTCTCTTTGAAATGGAGTGGAATTCTAGAGGCCACAGCTATTTACACTAAGCGCATTAAAGGAGTTCAGCCATATGGTGGCAAGAATGATCAGAAGTTACCCAGGTTCCCAGGTGGAGAAGCCTCCATTTGCTCATGGTTGGAAGTGAGAAGCTTGTTCTGGCAGCAGGCAGAGTGACCACATTTTCTGTCATCGTGGTTTTATTCCAGTGGGAGTGGAGACCCAGTCCAAGCTCACTGCAGAGATCTGGGAAGGTAGTGACCATGAAAAACCTCCCGCGAACCACTTTTACAATGAAAATTCAGGAGGTACATGCAGAGGAGACAGTAATTATTGGTTACAGATGCCCCCAAGAATTGAAAAACAGCCAGAATAATTTAACTGGTTTAGTTGTGTTTGTAGGCAAAGATGAGCTAAGTTAGTAAAGATCCTGTGTTCAAATCTTTTACTCAAGACAGGATCAGCTTTGGACCACTTTTCATGTTCAGTCCACTAAGCTTCTTCAGCATTTACAAATCTGTCAGAGATTAATGTAGCTGAACCATTACTTATGAAACATAAGTACTTTTGTTTCTGAATAATCGGGAAGTCCAGAGATCTAGGCAAGCCCAGAGACCTCACAGAGGAGAAAATGGAGTTCCTAAACAATTAAATGAAGTGAATATATTTAAAACTAGTAGAATATGAATTCAAGGCACTAAATATTAACATTATAGTATTTATTCCAGTCATATATGTGTTACTTTCAACAAAAATATCTTCAAGGTCATATGTTAGAAGTCATGTGGTAATAAAAACATACAAACACATGTAAGCATTCAGTTAATAAGGAAAGATATTTTCCTGTAGAGTATCACAAAAATAAATGTTCACACCAGTGGTTTCAAATGAGAGCTCACTAATTCTATCCAACAAAAGTCTAAATTTCAATTTATTTCTAGTACAGCATAAAATAAGGCACATGGTATTGGAAAGATCTCAGAAAATCCAAACCGTCCTTCACATTTGGACATGTGAGTTTGGAGGCCAGCAAGAATGTCCTGTGGCTGTACCTTACCATCTTATTCCCTGGGAAACTAAGGGATGTTGCAGCTGACATGAAAAGAAAATATACTCACATAAGAACATGAGCAAATCCCCAGTGATTGTTCCACTAAGAAATCATTCCATAAATGAGTCCATTTCCTGAGAGACCTTCCCAGTCTTAAGTCTCCCTGGAACCTAAGCACAAGACGGGGGCCAATGAATCTTCTCCACTTGCTTCCCAGTCCACCAGACCACAGATCCACTGTGAAGACTACACCTGACCTAGTTTATATTCGATGATCACTCTCCATCCACCATACTGCCCTTATGCCTGGCACTAGGATGATGGTTGGATGCATAGATGAAGGGAAACATAGTTTTCTTCCTTTGTTCCACTACAATTCATAGGATTAATTTCAGGTCTGGGATAAAGCAGCTCTCTTCTATTTTTCTTCTTTTTTGTCTTGTTCTTTTCAGGATAAATATTTTCCACTCTTATGTAGAAATTTTGTGATTATCCCTCAGAAGCAGTGCAAATGACCAATAAGTACACATAAAAATGTTCAACATCTCTGGCCCTTAGCAAAATGCATATTAAAACAACACTGTTATTCCATCTTACCCCAGAAAAAATGGCCATCATCAAAAAGCCAAATACTAACAAGTGCTGGTGAAGCTGTGGGAAAAAGGAACGCTTCTATGCTGTTCATGAGAACATAAACTAGTACAACCACTATGGAAATCACTATGGAGAGTCCTCAGAAAACTGAAACTAGAAATTCTACTTGACCCAGCTGTTCCCCTTCTAGGTATCTCTCCACAGAGTTAAAGACATCCCATTACCATGATAGGTACATTGCCATGTTTATAACAATACAAATCAGAACAGTTAACAGAAGAGGCCTCTATGTCCATCAACTAATGGCTGGATAAGAAGAGTGCAGCATTTCAACGCAATGGAGCACCATTCTGCTATAAAGAATAATAAACAAGGGCTGGGGATTTAGCTCAGGGGTTCTGATGCCTATCTCACAAGCACAAGGGCCTAAGTTCTATCCCTGGTACCAAAATAATAAGAAGAAGAAGAAGTCATTTGTAGGAAAATGGATGCATTTTGAGAGCACGATGTTAAGTGGAATAAATCAAACAATCCTAAATGTTGCATGGCTTGTCTTATATGAGAAACCCAAAATACAAATAAAGAGCAAAATAAAAGATAGCAAGGGGAACATAGACCTTTTGCACAAGGGAAGGGGACCACGAGATGGAGGGAGTGGTAGGGAGGGAGGGAAGGGAAGAGGATAGAAGAAGTAAGATGTGTTACATACTTATACCAACTCCCACAGGCAAAGTAATAAGTACATCCTACAAACGTACTAATAACAGGAAAAACATCCATACCTGGCCAGTTTGTAATCATACTAAGCAAAAGTTATCATAAATTGGGTAGCATAGTTTAGGGTTTGGGAATTCAGTGAAAAATGTCTCTGTCACAATTTCATTAGAAAAATTAGTATAGCCCAGATGTCATCGCCTACGTTGGTTAGCCTATTGGTGCCAGCCAGAATGAAAGGGATTAAGATTCGCATCAGGGCTAGAGCAGACGCATCTCTCTGAAATGCCTCAAAGTTAAAACAAAAGTCAAAACAGAACAACACCAAGAAAGAACTGTACTTTAGATCTGAAAGTATGGTTTAGGAAAGTGTTACGATTCAGCCGCAAGTGAAATGTGGTTCTTTTCTAAAAGTGAGGCGTGCGTCATTTTACAGCGAAGGAAGCGGGAAGAATATTAGACCCACTATAGGCCTGGACTGATGGAAATGCGCCTTTGGCCTGCGGATGCTCTCCCTCTAATCGAGTCATTTCAGCAGCAGCTTTCCTCTGACTTCTCAGGAGAAGTAGGAAAGGTACGTTTCAATTAGTAGGTTCGTACCAGTGCTTCCACGTAATTTCTAAGCACCTGGCAATTAAGAGTCCTAGGTAGGAAGGAAAATGCCTTAACCACCCCCAGGAGAGTTAATGAATGGAGTGTGGTGCACACTACTCACGGCTCTGCCTGCAGGCTCCTGTCCTCAGCCACGTAGTTGTAAGGGATGTAGCCCTGCAGCGGCTGGCCAGAGCTGTCTTCCCTTTTCTCCAAGTGTCTGGCCCACCACCAGCCCTCATGGGAAGTGTCCAGGACTTGAAGTTTGTCTCCTGCGCGGAAGCTCAGGTCCTCTGCCGTCCGAGCTTGGTAATCAAACAGAGCGACGAAGTACTGGCCAGGGCTTGTCTCCAGCTTCTGCTTCGGAGACGGTGGAGGTTCGGGGGCACAGCGGGCCCCTGGGTTCTCGATCACCACCGAGCTGTCGGTGTCCTGGGACAGACAGGGGAGGTAGGGCTGCAAGTATGCGCGGAGCCTCAAACAGACGTTGCCCATGGTGGCCTGGCCAGTATCAGGGGATAAGTCTTCCTCTCCACTCAATCGCCGCAGGTCCCCTTGCTCTTCCCACACCAGGCAACTCAGAATTCAGGCCCTGTTCACCGTACTCCAGAGAGTTCGCATGTCCTGTCGCCCTGGCCACAGCAAGCTCTGCCTGCACGCACCCTCCGCCTTGCTATCCTCGGCCGCAGCTGCCCCAGAGCAGAAGTCAGTGGGCACTGGGCAGCTGCTAGGCCGGAAGGTACCTCTCTTCCTGCTTGGGAATCAGTCCCGCAACAACAAAAAATGTTACAGGGGGACGTTCGGCTAGATAAGAAAACAGCTGCTCTGCCCTGTGTCCCAAGAAAATGCCAGTGAAAGAAAGACACTAACCCAGGTAAAGCTTCCTGCCTGGCCTGTACCAACAGCTCTCTCTCCACTTCCCGGCCACCCCACTACGCTTTCCTTTTCGCTAATGAGTAACCAACCTGCAGAGGCTGCTGTCTTCAACATGCTGAGCTCTGTTCTGATTGTAATAATTTCTCTTTACTTCCTGGTTTCTTTTTGTCTGTGACCTAACTGGGATTCCAGGCTTCACCCCTCCTTCTCCCACACCAGGATAGACCAGCCCCCTTACCAGGAACCAAACTCTTAAAGCAGCCGTCAAAATCCGTTTTTCTTTCCTTTCACTGGAGAAACAGGCTAGCCCAATTAACTTTTGGTCTTGCTGTGCTCCCAACACAAAATTTCAGAGAACTTTCTTTTTTTCTCCCGTAATTATGTGGGATTGTTTTGCCACTGCAAAGAAAATAAAAACAGGTAAACTGGACTGAGAATTTGTTACCAGACACAGGGCAACTGGGAAAGAACTACTGAGCCCTACCTTTTTTTTTTCCCCTCCCAGTCACCAGGAATAGATTTTTAAGAGCCTCACAGCATATTAACAGTCTGGAAAAGTAAGAGAACAGCTGGATAAAACACTGAGCACCCTAAACACTGGTTTTCCCCAGAGAGACATTTAATTCCCCATTCTTCAAGTACTATTTCTGAAATATATCACACACACACACACACACACACACACACACACTAGGTGACCAATGGAGCGCAAAAACCAGTGGAAGGGCTCTCTGAGAGCTTCTTTGGGAATTCTTCCTGTTAAACTCTGACCTCTAGGGCTACACTCTTTCTTCCTAAGGAGGTAGTGATGCTGGCCCAGGTCAGGCCCGGCTGCTAGGAGGCCACCAGTGGGTTTGCTCTACTCACCCTAGTTAAGGGAATCTGTCTCACAATTATGCTCCTGGGATCTCAAGAGCAACTCGGCTACAAGTCTGGATGGGTCAATAAGCTGTTGTTTATGCTGGGAGAGAACACTGCAAAGCTTCTTATGATGTCTTTTGTTTTTGTGTTAAGACCTTTCTTTTTACAACCTGTGTCTTAGGGCTTGAGGCTACAGCTCAATGGTATAGCACATGTTTAGCAATCTTGAGGCCGGGAGTAAAAACACTAGCATCCTTCTCCCCATTTTTTTTCTCTCTGCAGAACAATCTTTCTGTGTTGTCAGAGCCTTCAAACTAGCTAATCTACCCCTTAGGTGATTTTAAAACTCTGTTCTTTGTCAAATTGCAAAGCATTTTTAGTAGTTAGAATGATCAAACTCAAGAAAAAGAAAGAAGGAAAATCAGAGAACCATGGCCTTAGCCCAAACTGCTATTACCTTGTTCTAAAACCAAGCACCCATGGATAGGTCTTGTGCCATGCTCCCAAGGGTCTCCAGTTGTCCTGCTTTGGAGTACAAGCAACAGTTTTCAGGGGTAGAAAAACTAAAAGCTGAGCCAGATCTTTGTCCTTGGTGTTTGGGATCTTTAATGACCTAAATAAAGGGGAGGTAGAAATACGCATTTTGGATAATAGAGACAAATGTAATTCTACAATAATGACAAACCATAAGAACATTTTGTTCCAAAATCTAATTAATTTTAGAAGGGTAGGATTCTAACAGTGCTACCAAAGAGAGGCACAGATGCTGAAGTCTTTCCTGAGACATCTACATGATCTCGAAATGAAAGAAGCTTTGGAAGCAACCGGAGATTATTCAGACCCGATTCATAATCGAGCTTGCAAGTTCAACAATTTGAAGGTTCTGAACATGTTCTGAACACAACATGCCTTCACTGTGGATACAACAAAGCCTTCTGGAAAAAGGCAGAGCGTCCAATCTATCTAGCACAGTCACTGAGCAAGTAAATGAAATTGAAAAGGCGTCCAATCCTCCAAAGATGGTAGGCGTGCATCATCCTGAGCTGCAGGGTGGGAAAGGGTTTCCTTGTGTAGATAGTGTGAGAAGTCTCCAGTCACCCATGCTTGAAGCCTGCAGTGATCCTTTACTCGTTTTGTGATTTCTTTCAGCTAATCAATCACTGCAGTCTGCTCAGTCTTCCTTTGCATTTATTCTACAAACTTTTAAAAATAGATTGCATCTCAATGACAGTGAGGCATTAGCAGAAAATAGGATCTCTTCCTCAGATTATCCCACAAGCCACCTACCTGACCTCCCTTCCCAGCTTCCTCCTATCTCCAATCATTCTTGTGTTCCAAGATGAGTGGCGCTCCTAAGATCTTAAAAAGCAGTTTTCCTTGTAGCACTGATGACTGAGGCACTATACAAAAGCACTAGTAAGAGTAGCTCAGTTTTGGAGAGCTTTCTATATGCCAGACATTGTGCTAACATGTTACAAATGATACATCAATGGATTCTTATAAAAACACCTATGAATATGATAGTATATTTATCTTTTCTCACAAAGGCTGAGAGATTGGGAAATGTTGCCTAAGGTCAAATGGCCACAAAGAACACCTCAGCCTCTCTGGAGCTTGAGACTGTAAATCCTCAGTTTTACCACTCTCAAATAATCTGTCATTCTTCTATGTAAAACCCTGCAGTTAACCTCAAAGTGGTTTGGAACAAAGCCTGAACTCTTAGCATGGCACACAGGCCCTGCCAACTGCAGCAACTTCACATCTGTCACTACAGCACATGACCTGTGACACAGGTCCCAGACAACCAGCAGCCCCTGAGTTTGGTACTTTGTTCCTCTTACTCACCTCGGTGTCCTGCTATCCTGCTTTCTTAGGTTCAAGAATCACCCTCTCCAAAACTGAGAAATAAGGTTTCATGCATTCCTCAAAATCTAGCACCTGCTTCCATTTGGTCACTTGTTGATTCCTTTTTGGTTCCCTTGTTATCTTTCCTAGGAGAATAGAACTCTTTGTTTTTTTTCAGCTTTAATTGAGTTTACTGGTACATTTTAGGTACACAGTACAGTTACATTCATTGTTGGGATCTTGTACCTCTACATGACAGGTCTTGCTTCTCATTTTTTCCCCTTGTCGCTGCCCTCCCTTCACCCCCTCCTCCCCTCCCTGTCTACAACCATTTTATTTCCATCTTTTCATTATCTTACATTTTTTTATTTTCCCTTTTTACCCTTCCCCTACCCATCCCACCTTCCCTACACCTTTAGCTCCTTTCTTCCCATTTCTCAATGTCAATAATCATATTAGGATCTTCTGTATTATTGCAGATTATTCACACCAGAGAAACTATTCGGTATTTACACATGTGTGCCTTATTTATTTCACTTAGGAGTATATCTTCAATATGTATCCATTTTCCTATGAATGAATCTATTTTCTCATTCTTTATGGCTGAGTAATATTCCATTTTATAGAAAAACCACATCTTCTTTATCCAATTTCCAATGGATGGGCAAATAGGCTGTTTCCAAGATTTAGCTATTACAAACTGTGCCGCTATAAACATGGGTGCACATACTTCTCTGTGATATGATTCTTTTAGTTCTCTTGGAAAGATACCCAACAGAGGGATGGCTGGGTCAAATGGAACCTCCAGTCCAAGCTCTTTGAGGTATCTCCATATTGATTTCCATAGTGGTTGCACTAGTCTGCACTCCCACCAACAATGGAGGAGGGTTCCTTTCTCCCCACAACCCCGCCAACATTTGTTATTGTGTGATTTCTTGATAGCAGCCATTCTTTGTGGGGTGAGGTGGAATCTCAGTGTTGTTTTCATCTGCATCTCTCGAATGACCAGTGATGTGGAACATTTTTTCATATATTTTCTTGCTGCTTTTACTTCTTTGTCTGAGAAATGTCTGTTCATTTCAGATGCCCATTTTTGAATCGGGTCTTTATATTTGGGGGGGCTGATTGTTTTGAGTTCTTTATATATTCTTGATAATAGTCTTTTGTCTGAGGAACAGCTGGTAAAAATTTTTTCCCACATTGTAGATTGTCTCTTAGTTCTGCTGATGGTTTCTCTTGAAGTACAGAAGCTTTTTAATAAGATGAGATCCCAGTTGTTGATTCTATCTGCTAGTTCCTGTGCTACTGAGGATTTGTTCATAAAGTCTTTTCCTATGCCAATGTCTTCTAGAGTTCTGCCTAACTTACCTTCCAGCAAGTTTAATGTTTCTGTTTTAATATTTAGATCTTTAATCCATTTGGATTTTAATTTAGTGCATGGTGAAAGATAAGGGTCTAGTTTTAATCTGTGGCAGGTTGAAATCCAGTTTTTCCAACACCATTCATTAAAGAGGCTCTCTTTCCTCCACTGAGGATGGTCAGCTCCTTTGTCAAAGATGAGGTAGCTGAGTACATCTGGGTTTGTTTTTGTGTCTTCCAGTCTGTTCCACTGATCCTCAGAACTCTTTTTCTGTGACTCTTTGTATGATTTCCAGTGTGTGAAGAATAGATACTCAGTGACTGTTGAATTAGCTGATTAATTAAGAGACAGAGACCAAGACGGAGAGGGAGAAGGGAGAGAGGGGGAAGGGAAAGGGGTAGGAGGAAAGGCGTAAAAAAGGAAACAATATTTGGGGTAAGACTAATACTTGGAAACATTTACCATGGGCAGTGAGAGTTCTATAACATGAAAAATACCTGGAGCACAGAGGAGACAGTGACTACTGCTTTTCAGCCACTTCTTTTCCTCTCTTATGGTTCCCTGAATGTTAAGTTCCTTTGCCAGCCACCTAAAAAATACTTTTCCTGCTGGAAATTTGCCTCTTGTTCTTATAGCAACTTGCCACCACATTAAATCTTAAGTCACTCTCCTGCACACTAACCTTCAACAGATCCTCATTGCATGGGAGATATGGCTTGGAAGTCAACGCTAAGAATTTGTACTTTGTCCAGACTTCATCAGATGTGCTCTTTCAACAGCCTCCTGCATTATGACTCACATTAGCTCTCCTGCTTAGCCAAATTGGTTTAGTGGTTCTCTCAGTGAGACCCTTCTGTTCCCGCATCCAATCCGCTCTCTTTCAACGTTCTTCTGCTTAGTGTTCCTTCACTTTCCTGCAGAAGCCTGCTTACCCGTCAAGATCTAAATAAAAATCCCACACTTCTTATAGGCCTTTCTCCATGCATTTCTTCCAAAAATAATTTCTCTCTGGAATTTTTTCTGGTTCAGCATCACTCACTCCCAATACATACAATGTGAAATGAATTTAGCC